TCCTTGCTAATGGCTTGGGAAAATCAGCAGAAGATGGCTGAAGTACTTGGGCCCCTGCTACCCATGTGGGAGAAATGGAGGAAGTTCCTGGCTTCTGGCTTCAATCTGGCCCAGCCCTGACCATCATGGCCATCTGGGGAGTGAACCATCAGATGGATGATCCCTTTCACTCTCTGTCTCTCCCTCTCTCTCTGTAACTCTGACTTTCAAATAAATAAATAAATATTTTAAAAAAACATTGGTCATTGTCCCCATTTTGCAGTATGTGAAGATTATTCCTATATGTACCTGAATGCTTTTCTCATTTTTGTTGTTGTTTGTAAGGATTAATTTCTTTATTTGAAAGGCAGGGTAACAGAGAGATAGCACAAGAGCTAGATCTTCCAGCCACTAGTTCATTTTCCAAATGGCCACAATGACCAGGGCTAGCTCAGGAAACAGCCAAGAACCCGGAACTCCTTCTGGGTCTCCCATGTCAGTGGCAGGAGCCCACATACTTGGGCCAATCTGTGTTGTCTTCACAGGCACATTAGCAGTGAGCTGGATTGGAGGCAGAATGGACAGGACTCAAACCAGCACTGTGAACTGAGACGCCAGCACCATAAGCAGCAGCTAAGCCCACTGTGTCACAGTGCTGCCCCAAAGGCGGATTTCTTTTTTTTTTTTCCTTTGTTTTGTTTTAAAGATTTATTTATTTGAAAGGCAGAGTAACAGACAGAGAGAGAGAGATCTTCCATCCTTTGGCTCACTCCCCAAATGGTTGCAACAGCTGGGGCTGGGCCACGATGAAGTCAGGGGCCCAGAACTCCATCCAGGTCTCCCATGCGGGTGGCAGGGACCAGCATTTGGGCCACCTTCTGCTGCCTTCCCAGGCACACTCGGAAGGAGCTGAGCTGGAAGCAGAGCAGCCAGGACTCCAGTGGTGCTTGTGAGGGATGCTGGTGTTGCAGATGGTGGCTTCACTTCCTGCTCCACAACCTGCTTGTCCTGTTTAATGACGTTCTCTATCTGCTTTTCTTTTCATTTTTAAAGATTTACTTATTTGGGGACAGCGATTTATTTATTTATTTGAAAGACAGAGATACAGAGAGAAGGGGAGAGAGAGAAAGAGAGAGAGAGAGAGATCGTCCACCTGCTGGTTCACCCTCTAAATGGCCACAGTGGCCGGACTCCATCTGGATCTCCCATGTGGGTGCAGGGGCCCAAGGACTTGGGCCATCCTCCAGGAGTCAGGGAGCTGACTCGACAGTAGAGCAACTGAGACTTGAACTGGCACCCATATGGGGATGCCGGTGTTGTAGGTGGTAGCTTAACCAGCTGTGCCACAACGCCTGCCCCAAATATTTCCTCTTGCATACAGCTAAAATAGAAACTTTTTTATATGTTCTGGAGGATCTACAAAGAATTGCCGTCATTGACTGATCACCCGGGTATTCACACAGGTTTTCTGACTCCCTGCCCCTGGAGGTTATGCAAATAAAGTAAATGGAGCAGTCCTGGAATGTCTGAGTTCAAAGTTTTTCAGTAAAATGAAGCAACCCTTAGTTTACAAAAGCACTATTTCCACCAGCTATTGGACCATCCCCTACCATTTACAGTAGCTTTTGTGTTTAAAAGTTTGAATACAACCCAGATTTTTCTCTAGTTTAATTGATCTACTAATAAAAATATATAATAATAGGATTAAGAAGAGAAACGCCCTTCCTATATGCAGTGTAAACATGGTCAAATACAACTCCTTCCGCGTCTCAGCTGCAACCTTACCAGATGTTTATAATACCTATCCTGGTCACCTCACCAGTTTATTTAACTGATATTCATTGACAGGCTTAAAAGAGTCTATGGAAAATTGTAAAGTGCGATAGGTATGTAATTCATTATAACTTCAAAGATTCAGAAAAAATATTATTTTATTCATTCATTGGTGATTTCTATTCAGCTCAAGAGGAAATAATATAAAATTAGGGATGTTTCAATTGCTGTTTGAACTGGATAAGGTAGTCTATTCTTCCAGATTTTATTTGACACATCGCCATCATTCCTTCTGCCATTTTCATTTTTCCATTTTTCTGTGGGTGCATTCTGAGTCAAAAACTTGATCTCATTTTTAAAAATTGGGAGAAATCTTGCTGAACTCGTGCAAATCCTTAATCAGATGGACAGCGGTGAATGTTGGGGCTCAGTAGTTAAATCTCCTCTTGGGATGCTCACATGCCTCATGTGAGTGCCTGGCTCAAGGCTCAGCTACTTGCTGCTGATCCATCTTCCTGTTAATGTGCACTGTGGGAGGCAGCAGGTAACAGTTCGAGTAGTTGGGTTCCTGCTACCCACATGAGAGACCTGGGTGGAGTTCCAGGCTCCTAGCTTCACAATAACCCAGTCCTGGCTGTTGGAGGCATTTGGGGAGTGAACTAGCAGCTGGAAAATCTTTCTCTCTCTCTCTCTCTTTTTCTTGCCCTTCTCCCCCTGTTGCTCTACCTTTCAAATAAAATGAATTTTCAAAACTAAAAATAAGGTGGCTGGTGCTGTGGGGTAGCAGGCTAAGCGTCTACCTGTGGCGCCAGCATCCCATATGGACACTGGTTCATGTCCCCACTGTTCCACTTCCATTCCAACTCCCTGCTAATTAATTTGGGAAAGCATTGGAGAATGGCCCAAGTCCTTGGACCCCAACACACATGTAGGACACCCGGATGAAACTCCTGGCTCCTGGCTTCAGCCTGGCCTAACCCCAACCATTGTGGCCATTTGGGGAGTAAACCAGCAGATGGAAGACCTTTCTCTCTGTCTATAATTCTACATCTCAAATAAATAAAAACTAAAAACAAGATGAGCAGGGCATTCCATCTAATCAACCCCATGAGTCTTGTGCCATCTGCTGTCATGTAAAACATTGGTGAGGACCTTGACTTGATACCCAGGTCCTCCTGCAGGAGGGAATGAGGATTTATAACTGAGTTCCAGTATTTCTTTTTCAAAAAATTTATTTGAAGGGCAGAGAGTGAGAAAGACAAAAAGGGATCTTCTGTCTACAGGTATACTCCCCAAGTGCCCCCAGCAGCCAGAGCTGGGCCAGGCCAATGCCAGGAGCTGGAACTCAGTAAAAGGCTCCCACTACATCAGCCATCATTGCTGCCTCACAGGTGCACATTAGCAGGAAGCCGGATTAGAAGTATAGAAGTCAGGAGTCAAGCCAGGCACTCAGGGCATGGGGGTGTCTTGAGTATGTCTAAACTGCCATGTTAAATGCCCACCCCTTTTCTTTTCTCTTGATATCATTCATTTTACTTCAGTAGAAGAAAGTTATAACTAAGATTTATGAATTCTCTCTTTGGCTCTACCTCTCTATCTTTCAAATAAATAAATCTTTTAAAAAGATTTATTTAAATAAAATTTATTTATTTTTCTGTTTAAAAAAGATTTATTTTATTTATTGAAAGACAGTTACACAGAGAGAGAAGGAGAGGCAGAAAGAGAGAGAGAGAGAGGTCTTCCATCCACTGTTTCACTCCCCAAATAGCCGCAATGGTCGGAGCTGCGGTGATTCGAAGCCAGGAGCCAGGATCTCCTGGGTTTCCCATGTGGGTGCAGGGGCCCAAGACCTTGGGCCATCTTCCACTGCTTTGTCAGGCCATAGCAGAGTGCTAGACTGGAAGTGGAGCAGCCGGGACTTGAACCAAGGCCCATATGGGATGTTGGCATTGCAGGTGGCGTCTTTACCCACTATGCCACAGTGCTGGCCCCCAATTTTTTTTTTAAAGATACCCATGTGAGCAAAAGCATAAGTACATTTTTATAGAGTGATTTGAGGACGGATTCTTGTGCCTTTATTCAGAATGTTTTCTAGTCTCTAATGAATTTATTTTTCACATGCACATAAATCTTGTAATTCTTCCTGTCCCCACGGGAATGCCCTTACTCTTATAAAGCTTTCTCTTAACACTCCCGGCTTTCTCTGAGCCTCCACAGTGTTCTATGTTGGTTTTATGGCATTATCTTCTCTGCTTTATGGTCTGAAATATATTGTGTATGTCCTGCTTGAAGTTCTCAGTAGGTACTATTAGACCAACTAGGGCCTTGAAATCTCACGTACAAGTTTTTTGAAGGAAAGAATGAGGAAGCTTGGGCAAGTCACTTCTCCATGCCTTTGTTTTTTCACTTACACAACGCTTTTTCAGAGTTACGAAGAGGGGATGAGTTAATGTGTGCCAAGGAGTTTTGAAAAGTAAAAAATGAGAGGCCAATGTAGGATGTTTATTCTTGCTCATTAATTATGCTTTTCTTGTTCACAATTATAATCTTTTTGTGTGAGGATGAAAGGCTGAATTATCTTGTAGGCGCCTTGGGAGGATACCGAGCGGGGCTGAGCTTTCAGGCTCTGAGATTCGAAGCAAAGCGTGGAAGGAAGCAGTGCCACCAGATTTAAGTTTGTGCGTTGGCACCAGACACATGAATTTGAATCTTGGCTGTGACATTTGCTGGACTAGTTTTGTTACCCTAAATTATTTCATTTCCCTGATTCTGTGATTCTCTATCTGTATAACAGGGATAAGGGTATCGTGTCTTGCAGGGTACTTGTGAGGACTGGAGATAAGGAATGGTGAAGGCCTGGCACATAGTTTAACACCATAAACAAACGAACGAAAAAAGGAAGCATTTTTTAAACTCTCGGAGACTCGTGTTGAAAGGTCCCCGCATTCGCCCTTTGCTCCGTTAGAAAGTATTCTTAAACTGCTAATTAAGACTTGTTATAAAGTATCCTAAATTAGTTTGCGCTGGAAGTTGGAAGTATGCGTTCAGGAAATTATCAATAAAGTTTTGATTTAAAAAAAAATTTGTGCTAGTTCAGTTTCAATAAAGCTTTGTTCGAATGGGGAAGCGGGAAGCGTATCGCGAGACTCTGGCGAGACGCGTTTCTTGCTTAGCGTTTGATCTCGCGTTATTTCATCAAGCGGCGGAGAGAAGTGAACGGGAAGCGCTATGCATCGCGAGAGCCGACCGGACTCTCGCGATATCTTCTGAGACTGCCCCTCCCCCACCTCCTAGGGCCGTTTCGGTTTAATCTAGTGTGTGAGTGAGTCTGTGTGAGGGAGCGAGTGAGTGTGTGAGGTGCTGAGGTGAGGCAGAGGCTAGAAAAGGGGTTCCCTCAAGACGAGGGACAAAGGGGGCGTGAGGCACCTAGGCCGCGGGACCCGGGCGACAGGAAGCCGCCCTGAGCCGGGCTACCGGGTAGGGGAAGGGCCCGCGCTGTCCTCACAGGGCCCCAGAGCCGGAGTCGGCCCCACAGCCCCGGGCCGAGAGCTTCCTACTTCCTCGACCTCCCCGGCACCCGGGCCTGAGGATTGGCTCGGCGAGGGGAGAAGGGGAAGCAGACTTGAGCAGCTATCCGTTGTCTCTCAACTCCACTGCTGAGGAATTCTAATTTCTTCCGTCGCTCCTTCACCCCCCACCTCATGTAGGAGGGTGCTGAGGAGTCGGGAGGGAGGAGGAGCCTGGACTACCGTCCCTTCCCTTTCCACCCCCTTCCAGGGGCGCTTTGGTGGGCGTGGAGTTGGGGTTGGGGGGGAGGGTGGGGGTTACTTTTTGGAGTGCTGGGGAACTTTTTCCCCTTCTTCAGGCGACGGGAAAGGGAATGCCCAATTCAGAGAGACATGGGGGCAAGAAGGACGGGAGTGGAGGAGCTTCTGGAACTTTGCAGCCGTCATCGGGAGGTGGCAGCTCCAACAGCAGAGAGCGTCACCGCTTGGTGTCGAAGCACAAGCGGCATAAGTCCAAGCACTCCAAAGACATGGGGTTGGTGGCCCCCGAAGCAGCCTCCTTGGGTACAATTATCAAACCTCTGGTGGAGTATGATGACATCAGCTCTGACTCGGACACTTTCTCTGATGACATGGCCTTCAAATTAGACAGGAGGGAGAATGATGAGCGTCGTGGAGCGGATCGCAGTGACCGCCTGCACAAACACCGTCACCACCAGCACAGGCGTTCCCGGGACTTGGGGAAAACCAAACAGACCGAAAAGGAAAAGAACCAGGAGGTCTCCAGCAAGTCGGGATCCACGAAGGAGCGGACGTCGGGAAGTTCGAAGCGTTCGAACGAGGAGAACGAGGACTATGGCAAGGCACAGATAGCCAAAAGCAGCGGCAAGGAATCCAGGTCATCCAAGCTGCACAAGGAGAAGACCCGCAAAGAACGCGAGTTGAAGTCGGGTCACAAAGACCGGAGTAAAAGCCATCGGAAAAGGGAAACACCCAAAAGTTACAAAACCGTGGACAGCCCGAAGCGGAGATCCAGGAGTCCCCACAGGAAGTGGTCCGACAGCTCCAAACAAGACGATAGTCCCTCCGGAGCGTCCTATGGCCAAGATTATGACCTGAGCCCCCCGAGGTCTCACACCTCGAGCAATTACGACTCCTACAAGAAGAGTCCGGGAAGTACCTCAAGGAGGCAGTCGATTAGCCCACCGTACAAGGAGCCTTCGGCCTACCAGTCCAGCACGCGGTCACCCAGCCCCTACAGTCGGCGACAGAGGTCTGTGAGTCCCTACGGCCGGAGACGGTCGTCCAGCTATGAAAGGAGTGGCTCCTACAGCGGCAGATCGCCCAGCCCCTACGGTCGACGGCGGTCCAGCAGCCCTTTCTTGAGCAAGCGTTCTCTGAGCCGGAGCCCGCTTCCCAGGTGAGCCATTTCACGGGACAGTTCTTCCTGGTAGGGTGGGTTATGAGGAACTGGCAGTCAAGTAGCCATGGTAACATTTTGTGGAGGCCTCCCCTCTTGATGGGATAGCACACTCTGCTTGGTTGGCCAGTCAGTCAAGTGGGGGAGACACCTCCCCTTAACCTGCATTGCCAGTAAAGAGCTGGCGTGCCCCAGGCTGCTAAAGGTAGGTGCTTCCAGAGGCGGGATCTAAGATTGTAAGCTTCTGTGACAGAAAAATTATAGCCTTCTACTTAGTGGATACATGAAGTTGCTAATGGTGCCTAGAGCTTGTCTAGCTATTTTTGCTGCTTTATCTTTGTAAAAATTCACCTTGGTTTTAGTGCTTTAGGCTTTTTGGACCTAACTTGAGACTTGTTATGAAAAATTACATACTTCCATCTATATTATCTGTAAGGTATTTGCCCAGGTTATCCCACCATTTTCACTCTCTACTGAGTGTTCAGAGCTGGAAGTTTATTCATTGCCTAATTGATGTTGTTTTGGTAACTTACAAGATTCCTGTCTTTAACTGATGCTTTATTGGAAATTCAACATTAGTTGAATGTTCTTGTTGACAGTTTGTAGCCTAGCAGAAATTGGTCCCAAAGACAATTTGGCTTTCTTTACAGCATCACCATGGACCTGTCTTGTTATTTCTGGAAGTTTTCAAAATCTCTCACATAGGATTATAATGCCTTTACTGTGATATTTTTACCCCCGCCCCCCCAAAAAATAACCAGGTTGGGCTTGAAATTTGATGTTTAGAATTAATTATGTGTTCTTGTTGCTAAGTAATGAGATATATCTTCTTTGTGGACTCACCTCTGTGCACAAAAACAGAATGTGGGCTCTAGTTAGGCCAGAGTAGAATCTTGTTTTGTGACCTTTGCCAAATGATTTAATTTCTCTGTGCCTGATTTTATTCACATATAAAATGGGAGGAATAATTTGCCTACTTCTAATATGAGAATTAAATGAGTGCATAGTACAGTGCCTTATATATAGTGGTACTAAGTTAATTCAATCTATGATAAGGATAATTTTATTGAACTCTAGTAGAGAAATTATGCTAATTTGAAAAAAATCCATGCATGTCTTTGTTCTGTAATTTTTGCTTACTTAAAGTTATAATTATTAAAAAACTAGTGTGAATTTGTCAAGCTGCAGAGTTCCTGGATGAAAGGACAAGTTCCTTAGTATTTTCCCCCATTTTAACTACAAAAAACTTTGAAACATAGAAAAGTTGAATGAATTATAGTGAAATCCATACATCTACCACCTAGGTTCTACAATTAATGTTAGTACAGTGAAATGCATATGTCTTACATGCAGCATTTTTAAAATTGCTTAGTTTTTTAAAGAAGCTTAAGAAGTATTGTCAGAATATTTAGTTTTATTTTTTTTAGAGGGTATTTCCATTAAGGCTATTCTAAGAATTTTTCTGTTTCAAGGTTTCTTAGGGAAAAGAGCACATCTCAAGTTCTCTTAATGTACTATGATTTTGTGTACAAAATTATGAGGAATCTTCAAAAAGCTCATGGAAAATGCATAGTATGAAATAACTATACATGGATTTCAAAATTTTTTTGCACCCAATTAATTCCCTGAAATTTTGAAGTTCCTTCATATCTCTAGAAAGAGTTGAAGACAGTGTGTATGGTAGACTGGATGGAAATATAAACATTCCGTAATATTCCTAGAGATATGGGCACATTTTTTGTTGATTTGTAGACAGCACTGTATGTTTTTATGTGTGCATTACATATTTTTCCTTATTCACTCAAATTCCAAGCAGTAAATACAAGTACAAAAAATTTTGTAGAATCAGAGTAGAGGAACATACAGATTTCTTCTGTATTATTCTGTTTTTTCTTTGGGATACACAGTCAAAATGAAGTAAACAACATCATTTTTACACTTCATCTTAGCCAAAAGGCCGAGAAATGATAACGACATCATTTTTAAAAGACTGAAAACTCTCAGGCAGAAATGCAATGTGTTTGCATCTACCAAATTAGCATTTCATAGTAACATTTCATTTCAAATGAATAGAACCTTAACTATTCAGTGGGGCGGGAGGGAGTACATTTGTTTTGTAAACACATTTCTTACTGCTGCCTGAATTTAACAATTTGTTCTCCCCTCCCCTGCGTTCTTGAAGAATAGACCACCAAAAAATACCGCAAGTACATGGCCAGCCATCAAATTTCCTTACAACAGTAGGCTTGTGTTCAGAAATTGAAGAGTTCGTAGTAGGAAGATTGGGTCTTAAAAAGACTAAAGAGAACAGTTTGTAGTACATCTTAGCTAGTATTACTTAGTATTTAGAGTTTTAGGTGTTTTTTCCCAGCTATAATTCAGACAGAGAAAGCCTCTTGTTTAAGCCAGACATTTTACAAGAGGATTGTTAGTTTTCTTAAGGGTAAATTACTAAATCTTTAAATAATCTCAATATTTTATGTACTTGTGTTCATATATATGTTGTTGTTTTCCAGAACTATATTTATTTATTTTGAAAGATTATTTATTTGAGAGGCAGAGTTAGATAGAGAGTCAGAGAGATCTTCCATCTGCTGGTTCACTCTCCAAATGACCGCAACAGCCAGGGCTGGCCCAGGTTGAAACCAAGAACCTTGAGCTTCTTCCCATCTCCCATGTGGGTGACAGGGCCCCAAGCACTGTCTGTCTTTCTGCTGCTTTCACAGGCACATTAGCAGGAGGCTGAATCTGAAGTGGAACAGCTGGGACTGGAATAGTCATCCATATGTTTATACCTGCACTACAGGCAGTACCTTAACTTACTGCACCACAAAGCTAGCCCCTATTTGATTCTTTTTTTTTTTTTAAAGATTTATTTATTTATTTGAAATTCAGAGTTAGGCAGAGAGAGCGAGAGAGATCTTTCATCTGCTGATTCATTCTCCAGTAGGCTGCAATGGCTGCAGCTGTGCCAATTCGAAGCAGGAGCCAGAAGCTTCCTATATCTCCCACATGGGTGCAGGGGCCAAGGACTTGGGCCTTCTTCCACTGCTTTCCCAGGCCACAGCAGAGAACTGGATTGGAAATGGAGCAGCTGGGGCTTCAATCTGGCGCCCATACGGGATGTCGGCACTGCAGGTGGCAGCTTTACCCACTGTGCCACAGTGCTGGCCTCCCTTTTTTTTAAAGATCTATTTGATTCTAATAATAATTTTATATTTCAACTTTTAACATAGTTGCCATTATGTAAATTGTTTACATATATGAGCTATTTGTTTTGAAACATTTTGATTCATGTTAGTTTCCTGGTGATTAAAGATAAGTGGGAACTGCTTATTTTAGACTACTGAGCGAATTATGTTTTGTCCAGTCACATTTTTAGTGTTATTTCTCTGTCTTACATTAGACCTGAGTCGGTTAGACTTTAGTTAAAAGCATGAAAGGGTTAAGGAGAGCTGGGTTCTAATTTAGAATAATCTCTTCTATGGATTCCCAGATTTCATTTCCCAGTCCTTCCTTATGAAGAAAATTAATTGAGGGCCTGGTGTTGTGCAGAAGGTTAAGCTGGCACTTGTGATGCTGGCATCCCATACCTGAGTGTCAGTTCAAGTCCTGGCCACCCCACTTTGGATGCAGCTTTCTGGGAATTCACCTCAAAAGGCGGGAGATGGTCCAAGTGCTTAGGCCCCTTCTGCCCACATGGGAGACCTAGACGGAATTCCTAGCTATTGTGGCCAGTTGGGGAGTAAACCAACTCGCTCTCTCTTTCTCTCTGTTTTTCTGTCTTTTCCATCCTCCATCACTCTGTTTTTCAAATAAATAAATGAGTCCCAAAAGAAAAAGAAAGTTAATTGAACATGCAGTAAATAATACCTTGCTTTATGAGTTCCTAAAAAAGTTCATTGGAAATCATTTGGTATTAAAACTAACTAGAGCCATTATATCCTTGAGAGCTTCTAAAAGATTATTTTGTTAAAACATTTTCCCTAATTTTATCTCTTTTTTAAATCCTAACTCTTCTATTTTGGGAGTTTGTTTAGGATTGGTACAACTTTTTATTTTATTTTATTTTATTTTGACAGGCAGAGTGGACAGTGAGAGAGAGAGAGAGAGAAAGGTCTTCCTTTTCCATTGGTTCACCCCCCAGTGGCTGCTGCGGCCAGTGCACAGCACTGATCCGAAGCCAGGAGCCAGGTGCTTCCTCCTGGTCTCCGATGCAGGTGCAGGGCCCAAGCACTTGGGCCATCCTCCACTGCACTCCCGGGCCACAGCAGAGAGCTGGACTGAAAGAGGAGCAACCGGGACAGAATCCGGCGCCCCTGACACAGCATTGTTATACAGGATACCAGGAACAAAATTTTCCTAGGATATGCCAATTAAATAGCTCTGTAGTTAAAATTTTAATTTTTTAAAATTTATTCATTTTTATTTATTTGAAAGGCAGAGTGACAAGGAGAGACATATCTTCTGTCCACTGCTTCACTTACCAAATACTCACAACAGACAGGGCTGGTCTAGGCTGAAGCTCCAAATAGGAATTCTATCTGGGTCTCTCACGTAGGTGGCAGGGATTCCAGTGCTTGAGCTGTCATCTGCTGCTTTCCAGTTGCATTAGCAGAAATCTGTATCAGAAGGCAGAGGCAGGACTTGACCCTGGTTACTCCAATATGTGATTTGGTCAGCCCAGGTAGTGTCTTAACCCACTGTAGCACTATGCCCATCCAAGATTACTATTTACCTTGAAATTCCTGATTGATGTAATCTACATGTGCTGTGGAATATGATAACTTTAAAATATTTTCATTTTCTCAAAGGTTAAAACTAAAATTCTGAAAATAATCTTTGTGGGCTGGCGTTGTGGCACAGTGGGTTAACCCCTGGCCTGAGGCTCCAGCATCCCATATGGGCACCGAGTTTGGTCCCAGCTGCTCCACTTCCCATCTAACTCTCTGCTATGGCCTGGGAAAGCTGTAGAAGATGGCCCAGGTCCTTGGGCCCCTGCACCCATGTGGGAGACCCGGAGGCAGCTCCTGACTCCTGGCTTCAGATCGGCGCAGCTCTGGCCTTGCGGCCGATTGGGGAGTGATTCATTGAATGGAAGACCCCTTCTTCCCTCCCTCCCTCCTTCCCTCTCTCTCTCTCCCCCTCTGCCTCTCTTCTCTCTTTGTAACTCCAAATTTCAAATAAGTAAATAAATGTTTAAAAAAAAATATTTGTGGATGTGGCTATGATTTTTCCAACATAAGGAAAAAACATTAATCCAATTTCCTTCCCTTGAGTAAGTAATGGATAAGTTTTAATATATGATTCAAATTATTTTCATGCAGGAATTAGTTTCTTTTGATCTGTTTTTGAAATGAAATTTATTTTTTTAGAGTAGTTTTAGATTTACAGAAAAATTGTGAAAATAATGCAAAGAATTCTCATATATCCCCACACCCTATTGTTAACATCTTACATCAGTGTGGTACATTTGTTACAGTTACTGATCTGGAGTCCATATTTTATTCAGATTACTTAGTCTTTATGTAATGACCATTTCCTATTCCAAGATCCTTTCTATGATGCCAGCATTACATTTAATCCTCATGTTTCCTGGGATTCCTTTTTGTTTAGATGTTTGCAGACTTTCCTTGTTTTTCACTGCACCCAATCTATGTTAAGATTGATAAGTTACTCAAAATACGTTTTAAAGTTATTCTTCTACAATTTGTCTTACTGATCTTTTTTCCACCATCTATTACTATTATCTATCCATTTTAAAATGTCTTTTTCTTTTCCCAGTAGGAAATCCATGAAGTCCAGAAGTAGAAGTCCTGCATATTCAAGACACTCATCTTCTCACAGTAAAAAGAAGAGATCCGGGTCACGCAGTCGTCATTCCAGTATCTCACCTGTCAGGCTTCCACTGAACTCCAGTCTGGGTGCTGAACTCAGTAGAAAAAAGAAGGAAAGAGCAGCTGCAGCAGCAGCAGCAAAACTGGATGGAAAGGAATCCAAAGGTTCACCTTTATTTTTGCCTAAAAAAGAAAACAGCAGTTCAGTAGAGGCTAAAGATTCAGGCTTGGAGTCCAAAAAGTTACCCAGGGGTGTAAAATTGGAAAAATCTGCTGCAGATACTGAACTGGTAAATGTAACCCATCTAAATACAGAGGTCAAAAATTCTTTAGATACAGGGAAAGTAAAGTTGGATGAAAACTCTGAGAAGCATCCTGTTCTTAAAGATTTGAAAGCACAGGGAACAAGAGACTCTAAACCCATAGTACTGAAAGAGGAGATTGTTACTCCAAAGGAAACAGAGACATCAGAAAAGGAGACTCCTCCACCTCTTCCCACAATTACTTCTCCTCCACCCCCTTTACCAACCACTACCCCTCCACCTCAGACACCCCCTTTGCCACCTTTGCCTCCACTGCCTGCTGTTCCTCAGCAACCGCCTCTGCCTCCTCCCCAGCCAGCGGTCAGTCAGGCTCCTGCTTCTAGTACTTCAGCTTTGCCCCCTTCTACTCATGCAAGGACATCTGCTCTGTCCTCTCAGGCAAATTCTCAGCCCCCTGTACAGGTTTCCATGAAGACACAAGTATCTGTAACAGCTGCTATTCCACACCTGAAAACATCAACGTTGCCTCCTCTGCCTCTCCCACCCTTATTACCAGGAGAGGATGACATGGATAGGTAAGTACCATAGTTAACTGGAAAAAATTAACTTTCTTGCTCTAAGTGCAATGCATTTAGTTTTTAAACTTTGTCAAAGTTACTCTATGCTTGGTTTTTTAGAATGTTTTTATGACTAGGAAGTGCCTTTTATATTTGCTTTTCAGTGGAAAAGTATATGATATTATTTATGAAAACAGAATTATAGTTTTTATTTTTAAAAGATTTATTTATTTGAGAGTCAGAGTTACACAGAGAGAAAAGGAGAGGCAGAGAGAGAGAGAGAGAGAGAGGTCTTCCATCCACTGGTTCAGTCCTCAATTGGCTGCAATGGCTGGAGCTGTGCCAATCCGAAGCTAGGAGACAGGATCTTCTTCTGGGTCTCCCATGCAGGTGCAGGGGCCCAAGGACTTGGGCAGTCTTCTACTGCTTTCCCAGGGCATAGCAGAGAGCTGGATTGGAAGTAGAGCAGCTGGAACTCAAACTGGTGCCCATATGGGATGGCGGCACTACAGGCGGCTGCTTTACCCACTATGCCACACAGCACTAGCCCTGAGAATTACAGGTTTTTTTGTTTTTGTTTTTTTTTTTTTTTTTTTGACAGGCAGAGTGGACAGTGAGAGAGAGACAGAGAGAAAGGTCTTCCATTTCCGTTAGTTCACCCCCCCAATGGCTGCTGCGGCTGGCGCGCTGCTGCCGGTGCATGGCGCTGATCCGAAGCCAGGAGCCAGGCGCTTCCTCCTGGTCTCCGATGCAGGTGCAGGGCCCAAGCACTAGGGCCATCCTCCACTGCCTTCCCTGGTCACAGCAGAGAGCTGGACAGGAAGAGGGGCAACCAGGACAGAATCCGGTGCCCCGACCAGGACTAGAACCTGGTGTGCCGGCACCACAGGTGGAGGATTAGCCTAGTGAGCTATGCGCTGGCCAAGAATTACAGTTTGAGACCAGTAAATCCATTTTCTCTGAAGTTTATTTGAAAGAGCAGTAGAGTTCTCTTCATCTGCTGGTTCACTCCCCAAATGCCCATGATAGCCAAGGCTGGGCCAGGCTGAAGCTAGGTTCCTGAAACTCCATCTGGGTCTGTCATAGGGTTGGCAGGGACCCAAGTCCTTGATCTATCAGCTGCTGCCTCCTAGGTGCAAATGAGCAAGAAGCTGGTTCAGAAGCAAAGCCTAGACTTGAACCCAGGCTTTCCAATATGAAGTATGGAAAGTGGCAGCTTAGCTGTTATGCCACAACCCCTGCCACAAGTGTACTTTATTTTATTTTATTTTTTTAAAGATTAATTTATTAATCTGAAAGAGTTACACAGAGAGAGGAGATGCAGAGAGAGAGAGGGAGAGAAGTCTTCCATCCGAAGGTTCACTCCCCGGATGGCCACAATGGCCGGAGCTGTGCCGATCCGAAGCCAGGAGCCAGGAGCTTCTTCCCAGTCTCCCATGTGGGTGCAGGGGCCCAAGGAGTTGGGCCATCTTCTACTGCTTTCCCAGGCCGTAGCAGAGAGCTGGATTGGAAGTAGAGCAGCCAGGCCTTGATCTGGCGCCCATATGGGATGCCAGTGCTTCAGGCCAGGGCGTTAACCCACTGCGCCACAGTGCCAGCCCCTATTTTTTTTTTTTTAAAGATTTATTTTTATTTATTTGAAAGGCAGAGTTACGCAGAGAAAGAGGAGGTAAAGAGAGGGATGGGGAGAGATTTTTCTGTCTGCTGGTTTATTCCCCAAATGGCCATAATATCTAGAACTGGGCCAGGTTGAAGCCAGGAGCCAGGAGCTAGGTGCTATATATCCAGGTCTCCCACTTGGATGTAGGTGCCCAAGGACTTGGGCCATCTTCCACTGCTTTCCCAGGTGCATTAGCTGGGAGCTGATTGGAAGTGAATAGCTGGGAATTTGAGCCAGAGATCATATGGGATGCAGGTCCTGATTATTTGTTAACTTTTTGCTACATTTTTTTTAACTATAGATATTATTACATTTCATCATGTCTCTTCTAAAAATGGCATATATAATCACAGTATTTTTACCACCCTGAACAATTTGGCATTAATTTAATAATATGTTGATAATCATATATATAACATAATGCCAGTAATAATATAATTAATTAAAATAGCTCCAGTAATCGCCAAAATAGCTTTAATAGCTGGGAGTATTTTTTTCCCTTCCTAATCCAGGGTTCAAACAAGATTTTTTTTTCCTAAGATTTTATTTAGGGGCCGGCGCTGTGGCATAGTAGGTAAAGCCACTGCCTATAGTGCTGCCATCCCATATGGGCGCAAGTTTGAGTGCCAGCTGCTCCACTTCCAGTCCAGCTCTCAGCTATGGCCTAGGGAAGCAGTAGAAGATGGCCCATGTCCTTGGGCCCCTGCACCTGTAGGGAAAGAAGCTCCTGGCTCCTGGCTTTGGATCTGCCCAGCTCCAGTCATTGTGGCCAATTGGGGAGTGAATCAGCGGATAGAAGACCTTTCTCTCTCTCTGTGTATCCTTCTCTCGTGTAAAATCTGACTTCGAAATAAAATAAAAAAAATCTTTTTTCTAAGGAGATCTTATTTACATGGAAGAGAGTTACACAGAGAGAGGAGAGGCAGAGAGAGAGAGAGGTCTTCCATCCGCTGGTTCACTCCCCAATTGACTCTAATGGCCGGAGCTGTGCCAATCTGAAGCCAGGAGCTTTCCGGGTCTCACACGTGGGTGCAGGGACCCAAGGACTTGGGCCATCTTCTACTGCTTTCCCAGGCCACAGCAGAGAGCTGGACAGGAAGTGGAGCAGGCGGGTCTCAAACCGGAGCCCATATGGGATGGCGGCGCTTCAGGCCTGGGCGTTAACCACTGCGCCACAGCGCTGGCCCCAATAAATAAAATCTTTAAAAAAAAGATTTGAGAGGATGTTACAGACAGTGAGAGGGAAAGACAAAAAGGTCTTTCATCTGTTGGTTCACTCCCCAAATGGCCACGTGGTTGGAACTGAACTGATCTGAGGCCAAGAGCCAGAAGTGTCCTCTGGGTGTCCCACATGGGTGCAGAGGCCCAAGCGCTTGGGCCATTTTCCACTGCTTTCCCAGGCCATAGCAGAGAGCTGGATCAGAATAGGAGCAGCCAGTTCTAGAACTGGCACCCATATGGGTTGCCATGGCCACAGGCACTACTGCGCCACAGCTCCAGCCTATAAGGTTTATTTCGAGAAGGGATTATTTTTTAAATTTATTCTAGAGTCTGACGTGGCATAGCAGACTGTGACACTGGCATTCCATGTAGGCATAGGTTTGAATTCTGGCACTTCCAATGCAGCTCCCTGCTAGTACACTTGGGAAAACAGTGGAGGATGACTCAAGTGCTTGGGCTCCTGAACCCACATGGGAGACCCGGAAGAAGCTCCTGGCTACAGTTCAGCACAGCTCCAGCCATTGTGGCCACTTGGGGAATGAACCATCAGATGGAAGACCTCTCTCTCTCTCTCTTTCTGTCTGTGCTAATTAAAATTTTTTTTTTTTTTTTTTTTTTGACAGGCAAAGTTAGACAGTGAGAGAGAGAGAAAGGTCTTCCTTCTGTTGGTTCACCCCCCAAATGGCCGCTACAGCTGGCGCGCTGCACTGATCGGAAGCCAGGAGCCAGGTGCTTTCTCCTGGTCTTCCATGCCGGTGCAGGGCCCAAGCAGTTGGGCCATCCTCTACTGCTTCCTGGGCCACAGCAGAGAGTTGGACTGAAAGAGGAGCAACCAGGACAGAATCCAGCGCCCCGACCAGGACTAAAACCTGGGGTGTTTGCGCCGCAGGTGGAGGATTAGCCTAGTGAGCCGTGGCGGCAGCCTAATTAATTTATTTTTTAAAATTTATTTTTTTGATTATCAAAGTTACAGAGAGAGGGAGATACAGGGAGAAACAGAGGAAGGGAAGAGAGCAAGAGAGAGTGAGCTTTCTTTTGCTGGTTCACTTCCCAAATGGCCTTAACAATCAGGACTGGGCCAGGTCAAAACCAGGAGCCAGAAGCTTCTTCCAGGTGTCCCATGTGGGTAGCAGGGGCCCAGTCAACTGTTTATATTTTGCTGTTTCCTCCAGGCCATTAGTAGGAAACTCGATTGGAGGTAGAGCAGCTGAGGCAGGTGCCTCATATAGGCATAGTGGCAGGTGAGGCAGGTGCCTCGTATAGGCAGGTGGCCATATAGGATGCCAGTATTGTAGGCAGTGGCTTTACCTGCTATGCCACAACACCAGTCCTTAGAGCTTTAATTTAAATGTGTCCTCTGAGTATTGAAAACTGAAATGATTGTGAAACATGAATCTAATTTTGTGAATGGTGTTAGGAGAAATAATTTATTGACAGGATTAGCTAGGCAAGTATAATCAAACCTTCTTTAGTAACCACATGGGACCATTGCAGTCTTTATGTTACTGTTTTTTTCCATTGAGATATTCCCACTTACTCTGTAGTGCATTGAGTTGTATTTATTTATTTTAAAGATTTATTTATTTGTTTGAAAGGCAAAGTTACAGAGAGATCTTCCATCTGTTGGTTCACTCCCCAAATGGCCACAACGGTCAGAGCTGGGCCAATCCAAAGCCAGGAGCCAGGAGTTTCTTCCAGGTCTTCCAAGGGGTCCAAGGACTTGGGCCATCTTCCATTGCTTTCTCACATACGTTAGCAGGGAGCTGAATGGGAAGTGGAGCAGCCAGAACTCTCGGCGCCCATATGGGATGCTAGTGCCACAGGCAGTGGCTTTGCCTGTTACACCTCAGCATTAGCCCCAAGTTGTATTTATATAACATATTTGAATTTTAAGTACAAAAGTGTCACTGATCTTGCATCCCAGACTAATTCCAATATTATTACTGGGTTATATCAGTGATTAGAATGATAAATCATTTCAGCCCTTTAGGCCTATGTTTTTTCGGACTTTCTGTGTTTTGAGAAGAGGGCAAATGCAGTAAATAGAATGGAAAAAGAAGACTTATTTATTGATTGATTTTTAAAGATTTTATTTGAGAGGTAGAGTTATAGAGAGAGGGAGAGAGAGAGAAAGATC